ATTTCATTACCATTAAAGAAGAGCCAGGAGTGGAGTGTGTCAATTGGACCCTGAGATCTCTGTATATTGAACCTCCTCAACCCAGGACAGAAAGCTGTGACCCCAGAGAAGTGGAGACAAGCAGCAGCAGCAGAGCCAAGCCCCAAAGCAGGGGACTTCTCAGCCCATGGAGCAAGTAAAGCTGAGTGCCTTTCTGCAGAAGGCTCACTTGTAGACACACTTAACTGGGAGCTAAGTTTGCTGACCCAAAGAGCTAGGGCTGAGTACCTTTGGACTAAAGTTTAATAGCAAAGTGGAGTGCCCACTGGGCATTTATTAGCAGCCCTCAAAGAGCTTTGTAACATTGCTAAGCAGGGCAGAGGCCAAACCAGAAAGAGGCCTCTCTGTGGGCATGGATTCCTGACTAGAAGATTTGTGCCCTGAGCATGACTGATCCTGCACTATATCCCGTTAACGTCCCTAACAAACCCCATAACTTTGACTATGACATCTACATTGTGTGGCCATTGTGATGAATTATGGAACCCAACTGAGTAGCACGCAGGGCAAGGGATTGTTTGTGTCATGTTTTGTAACAGTTACTCAACTAAAGCTATGGAAAGAAGGACAAACAGAATCACTCTGTTCCTAGTACCCTGATGTCTGTATCTGACCAGAGCCTGATGTGCCTTGAAAGGCAGGTGGGGCTCACTGCCAGGAATCTGGGGTGGTGGACTCTGTCCAAACCCCACTCCTGGCCCTGACCATCTCAGCTTCAGGGAAGATTCATCATCGTGTATTAAAACATAGTCCCTAGGGTACACAACTATTGATAATCATAACACACCAACAGGCAGGTGCCAACATCATAACTGGAAGAAGTACGAATTCATCTTCTTGAACTTTAACTTATGAGCAACATGCTGAAGACAAGAAGAAATGAGGTAATATTAGGAGCTAGGAATCCAGGCTGTGCTGTGTAAACTTGGGCAAGTCACTTCTCCTCTCTGGCCTCATTTTCCTTTCCTTACCAATAAAATAGAGGATGGACAAGTTGACTTCAATGGTCCCTCTCAGATCAGGTATGAGGGTCTGGGTTGGGGAGAAGATAAAGAAAGCTATGGGCTCAGGACTCATCTGGAGTAAAGTCAATGAGATGGAAGAGTCTGAGGGAGAGATAAGAGGAGTTAAGAATTTTCCTGAGTCTTTTCCCCGCAAGACCACCTGCCTGACCCCTTCCAAGTATGAAATGATCTCAATGGTACTAAGAGGGTAGATCATGAGCCCTAGGTAACACCAATCCAGGAGTGTCCCTGCTCCTGAATAACTATATAATTGAGTCCCAAAGTCCAGGAATCCTATCTGCGTCTGTGCTGTGACTCAAGACAGCGGCCCAGGCTCAGAACATGGGGGTTTCCTGACCCGTGGAGGGGCAGATGGCAAGGGTAGTTTCCTCCTTCCAAAGAAAGATGATGTGAATCCAAGAAGTTCTGTTTTCGATTAAGTAAAGACACTCCCTCTCCGTCTCCTCTAACCGTAACTGAGACGTTTGCAAGAACAGCAGCTCTGACCTCCTTGGGCCCCAGAGAAGCTGAACAAAGAGAAAAGAGGTGCTTACATGCTTCAGAGTACTGCTGGATTAGCAGGCAATTATTAAGTGCTGTCAGATAAGCACTAGGCTGCTGACTGCAAAGTCGGCAGTTCAAAACCACTGGCTGCTCTGAAAGATGAGACTATATGCTCCGGTAGGGATATACAGTCTTGGAAACCCTATATAAGGTTTCTGAGTCAAAATCGACTCAACAGCAGTTAAGCTTGGCTTTTTGCTTCACTTAACATGTATATACTAGCACTTCACAAATATTATCTCACTGAAGCTTTCTGACAAGCCTGTAAGCATCCCCATTTTAGAGATGAGAAACCTGAGGCTCCAGAGAAGCAGTTTGCACAAGGTCACACAGTAGCAAAGACAAGATTTGAACCTGAGACTAACTGATCACAGAACTCCTGTCCTTATCTTCCCCTCCCTCCCCATTTCTCCTCCTTGTCATTGGAACTTCTTCTCAGCTCAGACTCCACCTTCTCCAAGAAGAGGACCCAGTGGCTGCTCCTCTGCCACGGCCACTCCCTGGTCCCGAGTGGGTCTCGTCCTGCACGGTCAGGTTTCCTCACTGTATATGGTATGTGTCTAAAGAAACTTCCAACTTGAGCTCCGTGGCAGTGTCTCTTGCCTCAAGTGCAAAGCCCAGGACTGGACATTGTTGTTGTTGTTAAGTGCCATCAAGGTGGTTCTGACTCACAGCGATCCTATATAGGATTTCCAAGGAGCAGCTGGTATGTTTGAACTGGCGACCTTGTGGTTCGCAGTCTAGTGCTGATCCTAGTAGGTGTTCAATTAGCATTTAGTGCTTTCTTAAGGGAGCCCCATGACCTTAAAATATCTCAGTCATATGTTAGGTGGGCCAGCATAGACACTTCAGGACTTTCTGAGTGTAAACTACAGGGGGCAGGGTGGGCCTGACCTCATCTCTACCCCTCCCTGGTGTTCCTCCCATGAGCTATAGGATAAGCACTGGACTACAACTGATAGATCAGTGGTTCAAACCCACCAGCCACTCCCTGGAAAGGTCGCTGAGTCTGAATCAACTCAACAGTATGTAACAATCATCTTTTCACCTTGACTCTATCCCCCTCAACAACATGAGCCCTCCTTGTCACCCTGCTCTTGTCTGTCCTTACGCTGCCTTCTCCATTGTTGGCCTGGACACCCTCTTTTTGCTCATCCAATTTTCTTTCTATCTACTCAGTTATCTTTTTCTTTGCTTTTCTTTCCCTACCTCCCACCCAGGGCAAACCCATGGAGGCTGAGCCATTGGGTTTGGGAAGTCATGTCTCTCAGCTCAGATGGGGCTGCTTTCTGTTTGGGAAGAAAAGTTGGTGTGGTCAACCCTGTGGAGACTCTTTGTAATGTGAGAGTCATTGGCCAAGGTGAAGTCTCTGTTCCCTCAAATGGTGGCTTCATGAATTAGAAAAGACTACCCTTTTGGTGTAAAGGAGCTCTGGTAGCGTAGTGGTTACGAATCGGGCTGCGAACCTTAAGGTCAGCGGTTCGAAACTACCAGCCGCTCCGCGGGAGAAAGATGAGGCTTTCTACTCCCGTAAAGATTTACACCCTCGGAAACCCTGTACAGGGTCGCTATGGGTCGGACCCGACTCGATGGCACTTAACAACAACAACAACCCTTTGGTGTGGACTAGAACTCCCAGCCTGGAGAACCTAACCTGCCTGGATTTCCCACCTCTTTTACCCCTTGGGCAGTGCACAGACCCCGCAACTGTGTGCAGCAGCCCCACCCACAGTTGTTTGGCGTCCTTAGCTCTGCGTGGTGAGTTCTGTGCCTTAGGGTTTATAGTGAGAGAGGACTAAGCTGGAACCCCAGTCCATTAGCTACAGTTGTATGACTGCAAGCTCCAGAATCTTCTGAGCCTCCGTATGTATTCTGTGGAATGGGAGAACTCCTAGCTGGCATGGCTGTCTGGGAAGTTATTACACCTCATGCAACAGAGCAGGAAGTGGGCGTGGACTCCCTGCTGAGCCACTGCCACCTCAGGTACCTTCTTGTTTGCTGCTTCTCTCTTCTCCCACAGCCCTGTCTCGCCCTGCAATTTTCCTGACCCATATTCTGTCACGTCCCCCTAATCATACTCTACCCTTACCTCCTTTTCCCTCCCAGCCAGAGCCCTCCCCACTGCATGGACACACAGATGTATGGGAGGAGGGAGGGGCTGTGGCTTAAAACATGTGAAGTGTGTCCACACCAATGGCTCTCAAACTCCAGCAAACATCAGAACCTCCTGATGGGCTCCTGGAACCTCAGGTTACTCCCAGCTTCTCACCCCTCTCACCAGAGTTTCTAATTCAGCAGGTCTTGGGTGGGGCCAAAATGTGCATTTCAAACAACTTCCCAAATGATGATGGTGCTGCTGGTGCAAGGACCATACTGAGAGCCACTGGTTACACAGTTTTAAACAGTGCAAACGGAGACAGTAAACCACAAACCCAGTCATGCGGGCTTCCCGAAACATCGGTGTATGAGGTACACAGGAAGGCAGAGGGGGGTAGGGGGTCCCATCCTCACTGCATCATGGTCACACGGTCACTAGAGGGCAAGATGATTGGGCCAGGTCAAATGAAGACCTCAAAGACAGAGAGGTAAGACCATGGCTTCCATGTGGGAAGTACCCAAATACATTCAGAGGCACTAAAGGAAAAGTGGATTCAGGAGAGGCATGCCAACTCTGCAAGCTATTCAAAGTGCCTCAGATTTCCCATTTTTATACCTCAGAGCGGAGGTGTGTGAATTCAGTGGGATAAACTAGAATGTAGGGCCCTTAGTAAGCACTTAAGAAATGTCAACTATCATGATAATTATCATTATTTTTACTAAAGTTGACATAACACTAATCCTCTCTGCCTTCAAGCATCAGCCTCCTGAGGGTGGGTTTTTATAAGTAATGCCCCTTTTACAGAAGAGAAAAGGTGAGGCTAGGTGAGGACATTTCCTTCAGAGGAAATGGAAGGATTTGGGCACTGTGGGTTAATGTGCTGGACTGCAAAGTCAGTTTGAACCACAAGGCTGACAGCTCAAATCCACCAGCTACTCCTAGGAAACTCTATACAGGATTTCTATGGATCAGAACCGACTAACAACCCTCTTTGCACTTGGCTCTCTCTCCCAAAGGGTAGGGAGAACAGAGTCTACTCCTTGTGCCCCCATTTAGCCCCAGGGCTGCCCTACTCAAATGACAATGCCAGGCCTTGTCCTGGAGGTGAGGGGCTCTCCAGCGCTCAGTCCTCCTAGGTCCTCAGGCAACTTCGAGGTCCCAAGACCACAGCTACGATCCCATGAGTGCAAACTCTGCTGCCCTAGAAGAGTCTGCTGCCGCCGTGAGCCTGTCTTCACAGGAGACTCAGTTCCTGCCCTGTGAGGACCTGACACCTGGAGGAGTCCACCTGGTCATCACGGAGAGACCTGCAGCAGCTTGTCCTTGAAATCCATCCTGTCCTGCTCCTGGCTCTCCAGCTGCTCCAGACAGCTATCCTTGCCCCGGATGACCTTCCCTGGGGTCTTCAGAAACCTGGAATTCAGGCCACATCTGCAAATTAGCCTCTGTCCCAGCTGCAGAGGGCTCCAGATCAACTGGCCACTAACCCACTTTCCCTTTTCACTTTGGCTCCCAGGTCACTCACCTGAACAGGAGTTTCTGTCCAGGTTCCTTCTTAATGATGTTCAGCTTATAATAGTGGCGTAGGGCCCGTGACATTTTCTCATAGGTCATGTTCACCCGGTTCTAAAAAGCAAAGCAGCCCATGTCACCGTCCCTTGGAGAAAGATAGAAGATAGGAGGAAGGGGGAGAATAATGGTCCTCTCACCTGGGCTTTGGGGTCAGTTTAAGGCCCAGCTCCACACTTGGACAGATGGCTTACTTCTGAGAGTCTATTTTCCGTCAAGAGGATAAGAGCATCCTCAGGTTTGTTGCGAGGATAAAATTATGGAATTCATGAAAGTACTTGGCCAGTGTGTACAAAGTGCTCATTAAATGGAACTGCTGCTTTCTGGACATCGGATTTTCCTCACTGTGTTATAAAGAGGTCGAACCGGATTAGCACTTGCCAAACACCAGCCATCTGCATCCTTCTAGCCACCAGCCTTAGAGGCAACAGAATACAGTGGAGCACAGAGCCAGACAGCCTGGGTTCAAATCCCAGCTCCGCCACTTACTAGCTGTAACCACTGGACAAGTTGTTAAACCTCTCTGTGCCTTAGTTTACACTTTTGATAATACCTCTCTAAACTGTTGTGAGGATTCCATGAGTTAATACAGGCAGAGCCCTCAAAGCAGTGCCCAGCAACCAAATGCTATATTCATTTTTAGAAATGCTACACATTGCTGACTATCATTATTGTTCTAATATTTTTCTTTTTGTAATGTAGATAAATTTATTTACAGTGGAACCAGTGGGAGCTAGAACCTATGTAAGGCAGAGACCTACCAGAGAAGGAAAACACCAAGAGTTACCAGTAACAGAAAGTAATAAAAAGGTGTTAAGAGTGCACTTTAGCAAAGGTCAAAAACGAAAAAGAAGGCAGTCCCATCCAGTTCCAACTCTCAGTTTTTGTCATATAGAAAGGGTCACTTTCTTTCTGTCACCACTGTAAATCATGAGATTAACATGGTAGTTAATGTTTTCAATCATAATTCTCACTAAATTAAATATTTTATTAGTACAATTTAGAGTAAATCAACTCAACTCACAGACATCCACTGGTATGGGTGTTCCTCATGTTGGGATTGCTGGCCTTGAAGTCCTTCCCGAGCCTTTACAGTCCTGAGTCCCATGTTCTGTGAGCCCTGAGTCCTGGGTTTCTGTCCCAACTTCCCCCCTGAGAACTAGCATCTTCATGTGGCCTAACAGCTCTCAGCAAACACTCAACAATTCATGTGCATGAGCAAGTGTATTCTCTGAAAGGCTCGGATGCTAAGTAAAGGTGGGATTAAGCAAGTGTAAACCAAGATTCTGAATTCCACAGACATCCTCCATGCTCAAGAGATAACTGGAGGTTCTTCAGTGTCTTCCAAAGTAAAATTATCCTGGCACTTTGGAGGTTGGTGATAAAGCCTGGTCAGATGACCCTCCACCCTGTTCCCTTCTGGAAATGTGAATGTGCTGCCTACTGGAACTGAGGTTCACCTTGTGGTTTCCCCACAGTCTGGCAAGTCCATTTGGATCCACAACGCGGAAGATCTTGGCATCTTTGTCTTCCCACTTGATGTAGGGCTCGTACCTGGTGTCAGAGAGGAGTTGGTACACGTAATCCCATAGCAGCCGGCAATCTACAATGTGGCATGGGGAGGGGGCAGGCAGACACAGCATGTTACTGGAGCCGTGAGGACTGGAGGACTTTGGGGCTGGGGCCCTGGGGTGATGGCAGAATGGTGATGATGACAGTGTTAACAGAAACTGCTGTTTGTAGGGACTTGTTATTCATTGTCCCATATAATTCTCATAACTCTAGCAGGTAGGTACCTTTATGCTTATTCTGTTGTCTCTATGGTTAGTTGCTGTCGAGGTGATTCCAACTTGTGGCGCCCCTATGTGTGCAGAGTGGGACTGCTCCATAGGGTTTTCAAGGCTGCAACTTTCTGAAAGCAGACCATCAGGCCTGTCTTCCAAGGCAACTTTGGGTAGGATTGAACTGCCAGCATTTCAGTTAGTAGTCCAAGGTTTAACCATTTGCTGAGCTCTTAAGTGGCAGGCAGGGCAGAAGGGCCTAACCCTGTCCAATACCAAGACCAGGACACTCTCATCCTGGAACGGAATGAGCACAGGCTGTGTGGCCACAGCCCTGTCTGTCTTCACCAGAGAAGACAGGGAATAACTAAGGATTGCAGAACAATCACTAGGCCCCTGAGAGACAGAGATAGGTCAGTGGCTGAATTCCTATCCCCACAACAGTGGTGAGGCTGGCCCAGGATTGGGCAGTGTTTCCTTCTGCTGTGCATAAAGTCACTATGAGTCAGTACCGACTCAATGGCACCTAACAACAACAACAACAACAATGGTGGGGAGACCTGGGTTTGATTCCTGGTCAATGAAACTCATGCACAGCCACCATCAGCCGTCAGCAGAAGCTGGAGTGTTGCTAGGATGTTGAATAGGTTTCAGTGGAGTTCTCAGACTCAGATGGATGGGGAAGGAAAATCTGGTACTCTACCTCCAAAAATCAACCAAGGAAAACCCGACAGATGACAATGGTCAGATTCTATTGTGACGGAGTTGTCATAAATCAGGGGCCAACTTGACAACCCTAAACAATCTATCCCCCTGCCAGTGAAGTTCCAGGAAATCTAATGTACCATTAGAAAGGGCGAGTATGCAGAGGGAGCCTGAAGCAAATGTATGACTTGGCAGTGTGATTTGGGACAAGTCACCTTCCTGCCTCCAAGTCACCACTTCCTTGTAAGGGTGGTGTATACAAACCAATGGCAAGTAACAAAAAAATTCAGCACATTGCCTGGCACACAGCAGAAGCTCAAAGAATGTTAAGTATTATTATTAAAAAGATCAAATAGTTAGGTCTTCAATCATTTCCAATGTGGAAACCAGGCTTCTGGCCCTCTGCAGTGTGTTAAAATAAATGTGGTAGCCTCACCATGTTAAAAAGCACCCTTCAGAAAGGCAGGCAGCTTATATGTCCATCTGTCTGGTAGTCTATTAGGTCAATCCTTTAACAATGGCTATGGATGGAGTGGAGCCAAGGAGCTCTGGTAGCGTAGTGGTTACAAACCGGGCTGCTAACCTCAAGGTCAGCAATTCAAAACTACCAGCTGTTCTGCAGGAGAAACAGGAGGCTTTCTGCTCCCATAAAGATCTGCAGCCTCAGAAACCCTGTGCAGGGTCACTATGAGTCGGAACCGACTCCACGGTTCTTAACAACAAAAACAAACATGGAGTGGAGCCTGGCTGCCCGGGCTCACATTCCAGCTCTGTCACTTCACTTGCTTTGTGATCTTGGGCAAGTGATTTAACCGCTCTGAGCCTCATCATCCTTATTTGTGAAACCGGGCTAATTATTACACCAATCTCAAAGGGCTGCTGTGGAGATTAAATAAGTTGATTCAGGTAAAGGCCTTAAAACCATGCCTGGCACATAGTCTGAGTACTCAGTTATTTTAAAATAAGTAAGGTTTAAAAGTTCTGGTATGGCACTGTAGGATAAGCACTGCACTGCTTACCACAAGGTTAGCAGTTCAATCCACCAGCCACTCCTTGGAAATTCTCTACAGCAGGGGCAGGGAACCTTTCTTCTGCCAAAATTTATAACATAATTCACGGGCCATACAAAATTATCAACTTAAAACTTAGCCTGCTGCATTTGCTCAAACATTTAATTAACTCACCCTAATGTGATAGCTAGGAGATTTGGTAGCGTAGCGGTTACAAATGGAGCTGTGAACTGCAAGGTCAGCAGTTCGAAACTACTAGCTGCTCCGCGGGACAAAGATGAGGCATTCTGCTCTCATAAAGAGTAACAGCCTCGGAAACCCTATACAGGGTCGCTATGAGTCGGAACCAACTCCACGGCACATAACAACAACAATGTGATAGCTGGAACTGCAGTTGCCTTGGCAGAGCCAAACCAAATGATCTTGAGGGCCTTATATGGCCCATGAGCCGGGCATTCCTCACCCCTGATCTATAGGATCACTGAGTCTGAACCAACCTGAGACACTTAACAGCAACAAGATTTAAAAGAAAAGGGCAGTAGGAGGACCTACTATCTGTCATTCTAAGTGGGCAGTAGCAGGACCTACTATCTGTCATTCTAAGTGGGCAGTAGGAGGACCTACTATCTGTCATTCTAAGTGGGCAGTAGGAGGACCTACTATCTGTCATTCTAAGTGGGCAATAGCAGGACCTACTATCTGTCATTCTAAGTATCAACTCAATTTTGCTAAATTGTCCCTACCCTGGAAACAGGGTGTTCTTGACTCTCCCAGGAAGCACTGCTACTATAGCCAGAATGTGGTCAACACATAGGGCTGCTACCCACCCCCCAGAATAAGACCTCCTGATCCTCCAGGTCAAAACAATACTCCTCCTTGTCACCTGTGATCCCTAGGGGACCGGACCTCAGTAGGGAACACAGTCCTCTACTCACCAGCGATCCTGCCGTCAATGGGAGCCTGCGGCATGGTGGGAAAGGCACAGACCTTCTCAGCTCTGCAGCCTAGCTCTGCACACTGAGCTAAGGTAAAGGGCTCCTTTCTGCTAAGGGGCCACCTGGCCAGGCTGGGGACATCCAGGTGGCTCAAAGAGCTGGCAAGTCCCACGTCTGGTGGCTGTGGCAAGAAATCCCTCACAGGTACCTGTGAGGGTCCAGTCCATCCTGCAAGCAGATGAGTATCTTTAAGTCTGCTGATCCAGAACCTCCCCTTCCCTAAAGTCCCTAGCATCATGCTTGGGAGCCCCCGTACAGCATTCCTAGCACTCTTCCTTCATCTAGCCTGGGTAAGGAGCTCAGGGAGACAGCAGAGAGCAATGGATGAGGGTCAGAATTCGGGTGAAAATCCTGGCTTCCAGACAAGTAACTTAGCCCCTCAAATCTGTTCCTTCATCTGTAAAATTGGTCATAAAGCCAGGTTTAGAACCCTGGTTCCCTGTATTCTAGTCTAGTGTCCTGTCCATTCATGCAACAAACATTTCTTGAGAATTTCCTATGAGGTAGGTTTTGTTCTAATACCATCAGTATTAGAGACACCCCACCCCTGACATCCTCTGTCCTCATGGAGCCTATATCCTAGTGCAGGGAGATAGGAAATTAAGCTGTTAAAAAGGAAATTAAAACTGCAGAATTTGGGGGGCGTGTGGGAGGGGGGGTGAGAATAAAGCACCATAAATCACACAGGGAACACTGGGACAGGAGAAGAGACTGCAGTTTTAGAACAGTGGATCAGAGAAGGCCGTTGCTGACATGGTAACGTTTGAACAGAGGACTGAAGAGGTAGAAGGGTCAATTACGTGGGTGTCTGGAGAAAAGGATACCAGGCAGAGGGAACAGCAAATGTAAAGGCCCTGAGGCAGAAGGGCCTGGCTTGTTCAATGAACAAGGATTCCAATGTAGCTATAAGAGCATGAACAACAGGGACAGCGGTAGGAGACAAGGACCAAGTCACTGTAAGGATTGTGTCCTTGACTCTGAGTCAGATGGCAGCCATTGGGAGATTTTGAGTAGAGATGTGACACTATCTGACAAGTTCTAAAAGAATCTCTCTGGCTGCTGTGTTGAGAATGTGGGAAAACTACTAGAGGGGTCAATGTGTTCCTTCAGACAAAAGATGATTATGATGGGAGCTAGGCCATGATGGTGATCAGTAATGGAGGTGTGAAAAGTGCTTGGATTCTGAATAGATTCTGAAGAGAGAGTCAACATGATTTGTTGACCATTGGAATGAGGGTGGGAGGAAAAGAGAGAAACAAAGGTAAGTGTCACCATTTGGACAAATAGAGCTGTCATTTACTGGCTTGGAGAAGACTAAGAGAACATGGATGGGGTAACCTGGAAAGGGCCGGACATCCGACGTTTGGTTTAGGAGATGTCAGGTTTGCAATGCCCACAAGACAGGCAGTGTAGGAGTTTACAGAGGTACGCGCTGGAGATTCACATATAAGAATCATTAGCACTACATGAAATTGCCCAGGGTCCGAGTGTCGATGAGAAGAGGTCCCCAAAGCCGTAGAATACTCCAGCATTTTCAAGTAAGATAGAGGAGACACCAGCAAAGACGGCTGAGCCAGAGGGGTAGGAGGAAAAGGGGCTGTCCTGAAAGCCAGCGGAAGGAAGAGTTTTGGAAGGGAGGGCTGACCCAGAGGTCGAAGGCTGCCAGAGGTCACAGCAAATAAGGACTTAGAGTAAACATTCCTACACCCAGGTCCCTGGAAACCTTGACAAGAACCATTTCAGTGAAACAGAGGAGCTGCAGGCCTGAGGAGAGTGAGTTCAGGGGAGACCGGGAGGAGAGGAAACAGACGCAGAGACAACTCTTTGCTGAAAGGCCAGGAAGTAAGGGTGGACAAAGCAAGGCAGAAAGGAGATAGAGAGCTTGCCCCATTCCCATTGCCTCTTTCATTTCTCTGCTTTGAGGAAACTTTGTTCTCCCAATAAGGACAATTTAGGAAGGGTCTCAGAACTCCACAAAAAGCCTCACCTTCCAAGGAGCTAGGGAGCTGCTGCATGGGTATCTGTTGCCTGAAGATCGCTCCAAAAAAGGGCTCACACACCAGGGCCCGCCGCTGAGTCTTGATGTACTTTAGCAACTCATATAGGACGTCACCTGTATAGGGAATGGGAGGTCAGGCTGCTGACCCAGTCCATGGGATGGCCAGCCATATTCCCCTGAAGTCACCTGCCTCTCAGGATGAGGGCTGGGATCCTGATGCAGCTCTTATGAGGGTGGGACTGGGCAAGGCCACTGTCGCTCCTCTAGTGGATAAATATGAACGCATTCCTTCTTTTTGGTGGATGCAGCCCCCACCAGGGCACAAAGTTTGGCAAGGTCGGACTGCATCTCAGCCCCCACAGGCTGAGGCCCTATGTGCCATGTACGTACGTCCTGTACGTGTTCCTGGGGGTGGAGACTGTTCTTCTAACACTATTTAGATTCCCCAAGCTTTATGAAAGGACCATCTCTGACTTCTAATGAGCAAAACCATCCCAGACACTTCTTTTCAATGTTTCATCCTTTGGAAACAGAACCAGACTCCTCCTACAACACAAGAATTGGGACCCTGTCCAGGGGCCCAGAAATCTCCCTTGACTCCACCTTTGGGCTAAAATGCTGCTGGTGAGGAAGGAAAGAGGAATCCCTAGGTAGACAGGAGTAAGATGTAGGCATAGGGCACTTGAGGGGTGTTTGTAGGAAGCAGGAGCGGTGAAAATGGTGGGGGAGGAACCAGACGCACGCACTCCGCCTCCCCAGCTTTGCCTCAGGTATAAGCCTGCCAGGGCTTTGGGAAGCCTTGTCTGGAAACAGCTCTCTGCCCTCTACCTATCTTCCACATCCCATGAACTAAGTCCCAACAGTCACTGGAGGAGGCTTACAGGGGAAAGTGTGTGATAAAACTTGGGATATGACACAGGATCCGCAGTAGGAGTGTTCAGAAAAAGGAAGAAAATCAGAATATTTAGGAAAATCTCTGCCACATACACCACAGGCTTGCTTGGCCAAAAAGAGGACTGCATGGAAAACAAGAGTGTATTCTTTAACTCTTAGAAGATCTAATTATTTTCTGCTTTGAAATTTGTGTTGAAATTGTTTTCAGTAATTGGGAGGCATTTGGAATTAAATGGGATTTTTTTTTTAGGTAATATAAATTTTGACACAATTGTTTTTATTGTTAGGTTCTGTGGAGTCATTTCCATCTCATAGTGACCCTATGCACAACAGAACGAAATGTTGCCCGAACATGAACCATCCACACAATTGTGAGGCTTGGGCCCATTGCTGCGGGCATGGTGTCAATTGTTTTTGTTGTAAACTGCCATCGAGTCAGTTCTAACTCATAGCAACTTGTATAGGGTTTCCAAGGAGCAGCTGATGAGTTTGAACTGCCAACCTTGCGGTTCAAACGACCTTGTGGTTGAGTGTTTATCCTACAGCGCCACATCAGGTGTCAATTAATGGGGCATATTTAACCAGAGGGGTCTCTGCTGCTGGGATTGATGGGACAAGGCCCATTTCTTCTGATTCAAACAATTATACGGCCCCTACAAGATGGCAGCATGCACTAAAAATGGGATAGGAGAAGCCCACCCAATCCCAGGCATAGAAAACTTAGGTGGGCTCTACATGGACCACAGGTAATAAAAAGATACACAGACAAGCAGAAACCCTGAGAACAGATCAACTTTGAAGCAGGTGTGAGTCTCAATAACCCTTTAGCCTCACACTTACTTTCTGATTAAAAATAAAATAAGAACTCCCATTGGGAGGCAAAGCTTTTGACATTATCATATACCTCAGTGTGTATGAACATCCATATTTCGCTCTTGTTTGGGTTTGTCTATTTCGTTTTGTTTTCAGAAGCGAGGAGTGAGGAGGGTACAGGAAGCAGTGGGGTGGGAGATGGGAGGACGGAAACAGGGCTTAAGGGAAGAGGAGGGAAAGGTGAAAGGCAGCTGAAGAGGTCCAGAGGATTATGAAAAAACAGAGTCCTGGTGTGGCGCTGTGGGTTAGTCGGTTTGAACCGCAAAGTCGGCGGTTCGAGCTCATCATTCGTTCCTCGGAAACCATATACAGGTCGCTATGGGTCGGAACTGACGATGGCACTTTAACAACAGCCTGCTTTGCATTAGACCTGCTATGTCTAGGAACAACCAGGCAAACTTTTATGGGACAGAGGGGTATCTTGCAATACTATAAAATGAGCATGACATCCCAACAATGCCCCTGGCTGGGTATTCCATCACAAGGTTTTAGAGCAGGTTGTCCTCTGACCTGAACCAGGCGCGCGGAGCCGGAAGTCGTCCTTGGTGAGGATGCAGAGGGCGCGGCCATTCATCTCGAATCTGTGCTCGCCTGTGCGTTGTAGAGAGTACTCCTGCTCCGCCCAGCGCAGCCAGTGCAGCACGTCCTCCTTACTCCAGAGCGCGGGCTGGATGCCTGAAACGCGCAAAGACACGGGCTGAGGGCGGGGGACAGGCACACGTGGAGTCTCTCCCATCAATGTCTCAGGGCTCCAACTTTCCTCGTTTGAATGCCGTCTCCCCAGCATAGCCCACCCTGAAGACGCCCTCTAAGCAGATGCATTCTTGCCCTGTTGCTCGTCCCTATCATTTTCTATGTCACCTTGTCCTGTTCTTAGCTTTTCTGGCACTTTACATTTATCGAGATTACATTTTACATTTGATATAATTACACGTTTGTGTTTAACATGATACATGTATCATGTATGTATTGATTTAATTGTTGGTGTTTGACACAGGATCCAACATGCATAAAATCTCAACAAATCACTAGAGAATCTACTAGCCAAGAAGCCTCCCTGATGTCAGTCCTGAGAATGAGCCCCTCACCAATCAAACCAAAGAAATCTCTGGGGGTTTTATCTGCAGATCAGTCCACAGCTTTCCCCACTCCGCTGTAATCAACTGAACAGATACTTTGCTTTATTGCCTTTGGTGGCTATTTCATTTTTCATAAATTGAAGGAGGTTTGTGGCTACTCTATTAGCACCATTTTTCCCAATATCATGTGTTCACTTCATGTCTGTGTCACATTTTGATAATCCTCACAATATTTCAAACTTTTTCATAATGCTATTGTACACTTAATAGACAACAGTATAGTATAAACATAACTTTTATATATACCGGCAAACCAAAAAACTGCATGTGCCTGTCTGGAACCTAACCTGCAGTATGACTGTATTTTCAGTTCCTTCACATTAACCATCTTTGTCTCAAAACTTCAGCCAGATATCACCTTACTCTCCTTGTCCAGGGCCCTGCAAACTGGGGGTTTCCAGGTTGGTCAGTTTCTGACTTCTGGGACAAGTCTGAGCAAAGTCCCCAGCAGTGACACTGGAAGGAGCTGCCTCAACAGGCCAGAGTTTGGAGGGTTTGAGTGTCTCCCAGGAAGGTCAGCACCTTCCCACACCCAGAGAAGTTCCCAGAGAAAAACATGGGGGTTCCTGGACCCCCACTGCTCTGATCACTGAATAGAACACTTCTTCATATAGTCACTGCATCCCCCACTGGACTCTTAGCCCAATGAGGCACACATCTTGCCTGCCTCTGATATCTCCCTAGCACCTGAAGCAATGCCTGGTACATGGTAGATGCTCAATAAATATAAAATGCCTAAAGGAGTGGGTTAAATCGTGTTAGAATTGTATCTATTCATAAGTTCCAGGGGCTCTCTTACGAGTGGTAGTGTGTCGTGGAATCAGTTCCAACTCATAGAGACCCTGCAGAGGTTTCTGAGGCTATAAATCTTTATGGGAGCAGAAAGCCTCATCTTTCTCCTGCAGAACGGCTGGTAATTTTGAACTGCTGACCTTGAGGTTAGCAGTCTGACTTGTAACCACTATGCTACCAGAGCTCCTTCTCTGGTGGGTTCGAACCGGCGGGTGATGTTTCTTTTAGCACTCCAACACTTAGCCCACTGTGCCACCAGGGCTCCTTGACCAGGGGCATATCAATTCTGTTCAAGCTTCCCAAAGGCCCTTCCCTTTTTATCTTTCAGGATATTTGCAGAGAGGTGCCATTCCTCTTCCTGTGGCATCGAGATACAGAGGGAGCGCCGTATGTCTTATTAACAATCTGTCGCTAACTCACAACCAGGAGCTAGAAAGTCCATTTCAAAGCCTAGAGATGCCTCTATCTCTCTATATCTGACAGTGGGAAGTTCACAGAACTTTTCTCTGAGGAAAAATCCACCATTACCTCCAGTTGCTATCCAGTTGACTCAGACTCCCAGCAATTGCATGTGTGTCAAAGTAGAACTGTGTTCTGCAGGACTTTCAATGGATGATTTTTTTTTTTTTAGCAAGTAGATTGCCAGGTCTTTCTTCCCATGTGCCTTTGGATGGACTCGAACCTCCAACCCTTCAGTGAGCAGCTGAGTGCCTTAACCATTTGCACCACCCAGGAGGAATACTTTCCAGGAAAATGAAGAGAGACCCAGGATGAAGCATTACAAGTCCTGGTCTGAGGCCCATCTGACCCTTAGCATCACTGCTCCTCATAGAGTTTAGTTGCTCTACTACCCATCTTGGTTGAACAAACACAGAAAATGAGTACTACAGGGAAATAATGTGTATTCTGCTTAGCTAAGTGAGACTTGTTTTGTTGGTTCATCTTCCTGCTGAGGCAAATCAGCCCTGACTACGAGAATGGAAGCTGGAGGTAGAGGAGGGAGAGGAGTGGATGGCTGGAAATAGATGGCAGGGAAAGATGCTTAGAAACGTGAGGAATTGAGGACTGGCATCCTCTTGCCATGTAAAAAGGTCAACTTCCCTCATTTGTTGTCAACTTCCCTACTGGGAAGTTGCTGACAGGAAAGTGAGTCATGCAGCACCCCCTATCTTTTAAGACTGTTAGATATGTTCTGAGGATCAGAGCTGGGTTGCCTGAATATTCTCAGACGTTTCAATGAACATGAGTCATGGGATCTAAGATGACAGGTACAAAGGCCTCCTGCCAGCAGTCAATTCCAGCTTGCCAGTGAGTGAGTTACAGCCCTGCCAAGTTTTCAGATGTCTGCATCCCCAGCCAACATCTGACTGCAACCTCATTCAAGAATTTCCAGCCAAAACTGCCTGATCAATCCACTCCCAAGTTTCTGACCCAAAGAAACCCTGACAGATGACACACCACTGCTGTTTTAAGCTACTAAATTTTGGGATGACCTGTGACACAACATTAGAACTAACACATCCTGCTCATTTTTCACTATAAATGTGTTGATTCAGGGCATGGGCTCAGGAGCCAGACGCCAGCTTGGGTCTAAGCCTGCTCCATGGTTATTCGTTTCCTCAGGCAAGGAAAGGACACGGTCAATTTGTTTCTCATAAGTTATCTTTGAGTGGATTTGGCTGCTCTACATGTTTTTCTTATGCTTGTCTGTCATGTCCCAATTTCTGGCATTAAGCACATGCTACACATGGACTCCTGGGATCAGCACTAGACTGTGAACCACAAGGTTGGCAGTTCAAATCCACCAGCTGCTCCTTGGAAACCCTATACTATGAGTCGGAACCGACTTGACAGCATTTAACAACAATACTTTTGTAACAATAAAAATGAATATATTTTTAATTAAACAATGATTTAGAAGAGGACTCTACATACACATACACATATATGGTCACTGTTTAGTCTCTTCTGGCTAACGTACTCAGTTCTTGGTCTTCAGGCTAGAAGGCACCCAATAGAGCTTATCCAATTCCAACCCTCATTTTACCAATGAGGAGATGGTTGGCCATGTCAGCTGTATGGGTTCTCCACATCAAAAACTCACATTTGCCTTTCTCTAACTTCCTTGCCAAGGAAAAGTTAAAGAAATCCCAGCAAGGGAACAGCACACTGACTTGCTGTAAACAGAATCAGTTCTTCTCCTCCCTTCTACTCACGGAGTCTTCCGGGCAGTCTACAGATCTTCCCTTCACCCAGCAGATGCGCTTGAGCTCCATAGTTTGTTGATGGTGGCTGCTGGGAATGTAGTGCTGAGCTTAGAAGAGAGTCAGTCAATGCTCCCTCCTAGATAGAGGAAAAACCGGAGCAGTCAAAGAAGGGCATATGGTAAAGGTTCACTCACCTTTAAATATAGAATTCGTTTTGAAAGGAAAGAGTTTATCACTGCCAATAAGAGCTTGCTGTTGTTGTTAAGTGCCATCGAGTCAGAGTACGAACCACGTATATTTTCATCTTGCTACCATCAACATCTTGTAACAGTGAATATTTCATAAAGATTGAGGTGAATTTCACCTTTCCAATTCAAGCTTTATCATGCATATGCCTAACCCCAGCAAAGGAACCCCTTGCTAAGACTCCAGTGCCTCTGGAGTTTGAAATCTGAAGAAGTGGGACTATGTCTCAAAATGCATCCTTGTGAGGGGATACAAGCGGCCAGGAGGAAAAGAATTTAAATCAGAAATGAATAAATAAGCAAACAAACAAATAAATGCTGTTTTTGAAAAAGGAAAAGATGATGGGAAAGCTGGCAGTGACTATGAGTGATGGAGTGGCACTGTAAGATAAGCACTGGACTGCTAAACACAAGGTTGGCAGTTCAAAACCACCAGCAGCTCCTTGGAAACCTTATAGAGGGTCGCTATCAGTTGGAACAGATTCAATGGCATTAGTAACACCAACAAATCATTGATAGTTGCACAATGATTAATGCAGTAGATACCACTAAATTACATGCCTGAAAAATGGCGAATTGGCAGATGTGGCACTATCTATTTTGACAACAATTTTTAAAAAAGAGAGATTTTCAAATAATTCCCAAACCCCAGAGTCCCAAGTAAAGTCTGTTAAAGGTATACCTCAGAGATATTGCAGGTTTAGTTTCAGAGGGCTGCAATAGAGTGACTATCGCAATAAAGCAAGGCACTCGGATTTTTTGGTTTCCCCATGTATATAAAAGTTATATTAGCTCTGGTAGCGTAGTGGTTACGAATCGGGCTGCGAACCTTAGGGTCAGCGGTTCGAAACTACCAGCCGCTCCGCGGGAGAAAGATGAGGCTTTCTACTCCCGTAAAGATTTACACCCTAGGAAACCCTGTACAGGGTCGCTATGGGTCGGACCCGACTCAATGGCACTTAACAACAACAACAATAGTTCATTAGGGAATGTGGTGGCTCTGTAGGATAAGCACTGGACTGTGAACCACAAGGTTGGCAGTTCAAGCCCACAGCCACTACATGGGGGGAAATGAGGCTTTCAGCTCCCACAAAGATTTATAGCCTCAGAAGCCCTATGAGTCGGAACTGACTCCATGGTACTTAACAATAGCACAATAACATAGTCCATTAAGTGTGCAACAGCACTGTGAAAACATTTGAAATATTATGACAATTACCAAAATGTAACCCAGAAACACAAGTGAACACATACTGTACGAAAAATGGCGCTGATAAATTTGCTCAAAGCAGAGTTGCCACACAACTTCAATTTGTAAAAAACACAGTATGGGCAGAATGCAATAAAGTGACATGCAATAAAACAAGATATGACTATGTCTTCATAATTTTATTATCAGCATAACCCATAAAGTTGATTTGATTGTTCTCTATGAGAAGATGAGGGAAATGACAGGATTTTGTAGGACCAGGTTGCTCCTTGGGCTGCCACATCATAAAAAGAAAAAGTAAAACTACTTCCAGCAAGAGTGATTTGTTCACTCTGGGACCTTCCAGAACCTTACAATCGATCGTCTCTCAGTGTCAGCTGAGGAGAGCAATCTGCAGCCAAAGGTTTGGGCCTGAAACCAACAAAGCAAACTCCAGAAGCCTTGACTGCCAGAAAAGATGATGCAACACCTTTTTCAGTCGTTCACTCTTTATTTCTGCCTGCCGCCTAGACCTATTCCCCTCCCCCAAGTCATTGAACCTAAAGTAACCTAAGGGACTACACCCAGCAGTGGAAGAGGTGTTGTGTTTCAGGCCCCTGCTGGAAAGAAGCGCTAGACCAGCCCACTCTTGGCCTAGGACCGACGGACAACTCCTTGTCTATTCCTTCGCCCTCTTCCAAGCAAAAAGAACGGGGAATTTCGGGACTGTAACTTCCTGGGAAGTGTCAGGTGCTAAAGGTCAGACTTCTGGGATTCAGCATGAAGGGCAGGAAGGGGTACTCATAAAATGGATATGGATCTTGGTAAGAGTGTAATGAAGAAAGTACTTAAAGATGGGAAGGGGGCCCAGATCTGGAAGCATACTGAGGCTTCTGGGGGAATGGAGAAGGGTTCTAAAGGGATTTGCCAGATGGGAGGGCTCGGCTTGCGCAGGAAGTGCCAGGGATCTCACATCTAGATGGGTAGAGGTAGCAAGGAGGTAAAGAAGCTGTAGAAAATCTGGAGGGGCTACGTATGGAGACCCTTGGGAGCAGCACCGAGGAGTTTCGGAGAGGAAGTAGAGGGACCAGTGTCTGGTAGTAGAATGGGAATGAGGTTTGGGAATGTGTCCAAGTGAAATTCTAGCCAGGGAAAATACCTGATAAGATGAATATGAAATTCGAGATGATGGAGAGAGAATGGGAGTGGGAGGAGAGGGGAGATGGTTGGTAACTCCGCGCGCCCTGCGTGATTCAGCCGCCAAGCTCTTACCTGCATTACAGGTGGAGGTGAGGGAGCCATCCGGCCTTCCGTCGTGAGCGCTCCAGTAAGTGCGACTGCAGAGACCCCGGGCCGGCACTTCTCCGCCCTCTTTCCCTAGACCCCTAGCTTGGCCGGGAACTCTGGTGGGCGCATAGGAAGGAATCTCTTTCGAGAAGCGCAGAGACTTGTGCGCGGGGCTCCACGAGCAAGTAGGCGCGCAGGGCTCTCCGGTAATCGCTATCCTTCCGGGAAACGAAAACGAAAGAGCGGGATCCTGCTTCCACTCCCGCCCCGCGGAGCCCAGGGGAGGGCAGGAGCCGGGCCGCGGGGCTGCCCTGTTTCGCGCCGGGAGGCGTCTCCCCTCTAGCATTTTCCAGCGGGTGGACAGCCACTTGGGCAGTCTAAGATGAGATTCTGCACAATTTGGAGAGCCAGGGTAACTTCTGGTCTGGGGCTTGGAGTGGCTACAGACTAACATTAACGTCGCTTTCGTGCGTTTCCGTAGGTGAATAGGAGAGGGCTGCCTGGGGACGAGTGACTTTCCCAGCGCTAAGCCGGCCTCAGTCTCATATTTGACTTCGTGGAAGCCCCACCACCCAGGCCTGAGCGCCACCATCGGAGATCTATGCCCTAGCATTCACTGGTTTCCCACTGGCATCTTTCCCCGCCCTCCTATTGCTCAGCTCCTCCCTGTCTTGAGGGGAAGCTGAGAGGATTGTAAGCATAAAATCAAACTAATACACATGCCAAAAGAAAAGAGGGGATTATTATTCAAGGAAAACCCTTAATAATCTTTTGTTGAAAATCTGAGGGTGTAGACTTCTATAAAGTTTTGTTGTTGTTGTTGTTGTCAGGTGCCATCGAGTCGGAACCGACTCATAGCGACCCCATGCACAGCAGAACGAAACAATGCTCGATCCTGGGCCAACCTCACCACCGCTGCCACCCCCGAGTCCATCAATGATGCCACCTGGCCGATCCATCTCGTTGGAGGTCTTCCTCTTTTTCTCTGACCCCTCCACCCTACCCATCATGACATCCTTCTCCAACGATTGTTTCCTCCGGACTACATGTCCAAAGTAGGAGAGACGAAGCTTAGCCATCCTGGCCTCCAAGGAGCACTCTGGCTGCACTTCTTCCAAAACAGATCTATTGGTTCTTTTGGCAGTCCATGGCACCCTCAGTATTCTCCTCCAACACCACAACTCAAAGGCATCAATTCTTCTACGATCCTCTTTATTCACTGTCCAGCTTTCGCATCCATATGAGGCTATTGAAAACACAATGGCCTGGGTCAGGCGCACCCTAGTCCTCAAGCTGACATCTCTGCTCTTCAATACTTTAAAAAGTTCCTGTGCAGCAGATTTGCCCAGTGCAATACGTCGTCTGATCTCTTGACTGCTTCTTCCGCGAGTGTTGATAGTTGATCCAAGAAGAATGAAGTCCTTGACAACTTCAATCCTTTCTCCATTGATAAGAATGTTGTTTATTGGTCCAGTGGTGAGGATTTTTGAGCACTGGTATAGAAAGTTTTGAGCACTGGTATATAATGAACTCCTAGAAACCAGTACTGGTGTGGCATTGTAGGATAAGCACTGGACTGCTTAGCTGTACAGTCAGTGGTTCAAACCCACCAGACACTCTCGGAAACCCTGTACTGGCTCAAAGGCACTTAGCGACAGAAAACAAAAGAATCAGGCCAGAAACCCATGGAAAAATGAGTAAATAGTTCATGCAAAAGGAAATGTCCTTGGAGGTAGAAAAAGAAGCTCAGACCCATTATAAAGGATGTGCAAATTAAAGTTACTCTGAAATAATCATCTTTTTGGCCTTTAACTTTGCAAAATTCCAAAGTTTGATAACAATCTGCCGGAGAGACTGTGAGAAATAGGCACCGTGGGTCAGGCACTGTGCTAGGTATTTTAAATTGTTAACTCATCTACTCTTCTTAACAAGTGTTTGAGGTTTGTTGTGTGTTGTCATAGCGTTGCTGTGGGAGGCAGAAAACTTCATGCTTCATGTAGAACAGGTGGTGAATTCAAACCGCTTACCCTGCAATTAACAGCCCAATCATAACCCACTAGCCACCAGGGCCCCAGTGTTATGCTGAGCGCAAATATAATCAAGCATGGCCTGAGGCATCTTACACACACAACCTTGCCCTATCTTTGTTTTCTGAGATATATGATTTAACCATTATTAGAACGTTAATGGTCACTTAGTTCCCCTTGAAACCTAGTGCCGGTATGTGTAGCTTCTGATAAGGAGTAGCCGCCTAGGCAAACAGGCATCAACTCCCTTTTGATGTGTTTAGACACGTGACCACCCTGTGACTTAGTGTGAATATTAGAATGATAAGAT